CCCTACGTCGTCTTCGAGAAATCTTCCCGTGCAAAAATATATTTTGTTTTCGTCAAAGAACCAAAGCGATATTGCGTTTGAAGAGTTTGTATTGTTAGGAAACATTCACAGAGAAGATAGGAATTGAAAATCCCAGGTAAGTGTTGCTCAATTTCATTACTTTTCAATTTTTTACTGAAAAATGTTGTTCCCTAGCTCCATATATACCTGCAAGCGCCATTTGTTTTGAAACGTGTTGAAAAGTTAGCGATACCCGAAAGCAGTCGTTAAATTAACTTTAACTACGTTGCACAGTTAACGCTAACTACTTTTTTATATAACCGAGTTAACTACGTGATTAAAGTTAATCACTATTTAACTACAAAATAGTGATTAAAAAAGTGATTAAGAGTTTTATACAACCAACCCCTGATTGTTGAATCGCTCTCAATCCGCCGCTTTCTGGTGCCACAACCTACGCTGGCACAGATCGTTTGGGCAGATGGCACAGAACTGGCACAGGTCGTTTGATATACAGGGTGTCTAAAAAAAACGCTATGGAAATTCAACAGGCTGTCGTGCATCATAAACATGGCTAAACAATTCGAATTTTACATAGGACGAAAGAACAGTTATTTAGCTTTTCAATGATGCTCTTCTTAAATCGTAACGATGAGAAATGGCCACATACTCGAGATAAAGAGCAGAGCCCAGCAAATCTAAACATAACAAAAGTAAAAATTTATTAGCTAACGTTTCGTTGTTTACAATACAACATCTTCAGAGCAATCTAAATGAATTTATAGGGTATGGTATATATATATATATATATATATATATATATATATATATATATATATATATATATATATATATATATATATATATATATATATATATATATAGTGAGGCGGATATGTGTAAAATTTTTGATCAGTAGTTCCCGTTGAGGTTAAAAGCATCAAACTTTTACAATTGATGTAGTTTTATTTGCCTAATAGATATTTGAAGTGGAGCCATCGCTATTTTGCTGCTAACTCCTGAAAACGGGTGATTAGTGATTATCTTCTATTGAATTCTATTATAGCCAAAAAATGTGAAATTTTGTATTCAATTACAACAAATATGACTTGTATCATCAGAAAGCTTATAAAAAACTGCATATAAGACGTTTAGACAGTTTTTTGATTTCTGAAATAGTTTTCGAATTATAAACTGTTAAAAACGCATTTTCAAACATCGAATAATTAATTAGGGACTTTTAGCGAGATAATGTGCCTAATTTACAGCAATAACCATTTGAAGAATAAAAAAACTGTTTAAAAGTCTTTTATGTAGTTTTTTACAAGCTTTCTGATGATGCAAGTTATATTTGTCGCGATTGAATTCAAAATTTCACATTTTTGTTGTAGTAGAATTTAATAGCAAATAATGCTAATAGCATCGTAACTCTCTAAAAAAAGCAGTTTCACGATGGCCCCACTTTTGCATGTTGTTCTATTCATAAAAAGATGCTACTGTGCACATGCAATTTGGTGCTTTTAACCCTCTTCGGAAACATCCATGCACATATCCGCCACACTATAAGAAAAAGTGTATTAAACAAAGTTTCTTTTTGAATTTTCTTTTATGTTTTTAGACAAGTATTGTACAAAATTACCGCAATATCGCTGTATGCATGGAATGTACGTGCTCCTTATGGAACAAACAAAGCGACATTAGTATAGCGGCATTGTTTACCTTTGTACGAGATTATCCGGTCGTTTACGAGTTAACGTATAATCCAGTATTAGCAACCGTATTACTTATTATAGAGACTGAGAGTGTTCTTGCATGGTGCACTTCCTTCGAACATGCATTGTCCTATATCATATGTATTAATTTCTTTGTGCCTTGTAATTAGATTAGAATACATATATAGCCTTGAAGTTGAATAATATAACAGTGAAAATTTAAAAACATTTTGATTACTGTACAGTTTCGTACGTGAAGTTATACCAGAGGCATAGATGATTAGCAAAAATTCAAAACCAATTGGAAAAAGGTACGTCGTCCTTCAAATATCGTAAACCTTAGCCATTGAGCGCGCAAGGTATGATGGATATATATAATAAAATTACATAACATATTTTTTATTACATAATATATAAACATGCGATGTTGGCATATCTTTTAGTGTATAAGCACGTCCCGACAAATCTTTTTGACTTTTGCAAGCAAAAACCCTTGTTTTTTCGTTTTGCGACGAACTCGAGCCAGTTGAGCACAAAGTTTCGTTTTTCGTGCATGTGGTTTTTTAAGGCAGTCAAAAAATTTACCAGAACAGTTGAGAAAAGTTAGAAAAATAGCTTTTATGCAAATTATATTAAAAAGCTAGACCTGATAGGATGAGTAGTCTCCAGTGCAGGCCAGCTGTGTTTTCATCCGTACGTAATATGCATGAATTGTTGTGCTAAAACGTAATATGACCACATTTTCAACATGTACATTCAGCTCCCTATACTGTATATACGAAGTCCAAATTAGAAGATTTCTTTCACGCTTTTTTCTATATTTTGTTATAGGGGGGGTCTGAATAATCCATAATCCTAGAAAAAATTTAAAAATAATCCGTATCCTATATATTTCTATAAACAAAAATATCCCTTTTTATTTGTGCATGCCTAGTGATATTTTTTTATTCCCTGCAATCTGATTGGCTGCACGAGCGGGCAGCTTTTTACGATATCTTGACCGCGGTCCAAAAGAGTTGTTTTTTAGCGACAAACCGGGGAGCGAAGACAATTTCAAACTCAAAATACTGCCCAAAAATCTACGCTATCGATACTAAAGATAGTAAAATACAGTGAATTTACTTCAATGGACTTAGTGCAAAGCCCGAAATGTACTTTTCTCCGACCAAAATGTGGAAAAAAACCCCAAATATAAACATTGAAAAAACACTGGCCAGTGTTGTATGTTTTGATTCAAATGTTGCACAATGTTGCACATATATTCAGCTATTGTTCGAAAATATATACGTATATAATAGTACAACGTACAACTTGTCCTTAACAAAATACCTTAAATGGCAGTTTAATTTTAAGGATGATTCCTGGGCTTAATTCGGTCAAAATTGTTTTTATAAATGTTGTAATGAACAAATGGACCTTGCAGCCGGTAAACAACATATATAAATTAATAATTTAAAGAAATGTGAACAGTCAAATTATTCCACGCGAGATCAAGTGACACTCGAGTGATTCATGCGTGTCACATACACGTTTGCGCGAAGTCCACCCGTGTTCCATCTCAAATGTGCGAAATGGTCAATAATTAAAAATTTTTTAGCGCCTTTCAATGGTGCCTCCAGTATGTTGAAGATATTGATAATTTGATATTGACTGGCATCTGATGACCTCTTACAAACTGCATATTTTAGCTCTTATTTTTATTTTCAATGCCAAAAAATGATATATGATCTTTGCATATCAATACTCCTTAATCCTAAAATCCTATCAAGTTAATCCATAATCTTTTTTTTAACAAGAAATAATCCGTAATCCTGCCCGAAAATCCTAAAACCCTAACAGGGCCTCATTTGTCTATTTTTCCTATGGTTATGTATACAAGATTACATAACCAAACAATTAAGATAATATTTACAACTGATAGAGCTAGAGACCTACTAGAAACCCTAACATTTAATATAGGCCTAAAGGGCCTCTAGTTTTGTTCAGTATACATTACGTATAATTGAAATTACTTCTTAATATACAGTCAAATGAAATGACGGGAAAAAATGGTTTAGAGAATACAGTATAACATATAATATGTATATAGAAGATAAAGAATAGAATTGAGCATGCATGCAGGTTTAATACAATATGAAGATAAACTTGTTTGCTACTATATATGATGAGACATTCCCTCAATCTATACTAAATTGTACAAATATAAGACAAATTAACTTTCCTACCTTTTGAAGTGTTTTTACTCGGTGTTTCCTGCACTTCCCTGACTCTTGCTCATCTGAGTGACCTCACAGTTGCGGTGCGTATTTTAATGTTCGGTCACAGAGTAGGGTTGCTAAGCAACGACAACCAAACAGTTCTAGTAGTTTTGTCTATATATAGTCTCCTCATACTTCAAGAGTTCCGGGCAAACTATACGTTGTAAAAAAAATTCCGAGCATCGGCACGCAAAACACAAAATTTCGTCAAAAATGTCTTTTATAGTTCAGCTTATAGTTTAGGTTTTTAGGCATCCATTTTCATATGTGCTCTTTGTAAACTGTAATTCCATGACCCTAAAAAACAACTGTAATTCACGAAGGCATGATGGCATGCATGCATGGTTTCACGAAGAAGCACTATCATGCGGCATGTATCTGGTGGTGAATTCTATGAATTTTATATAGGATACGACGGGAGTTTTTTTTCCAAAAAATTGTATTGAAAAAAAAATTGGGAATACGCCTTTTCCCTTTTTCTGTTCGTGTCATGGGATTCAGAAACATTTTGCCTGCATGCGAAAATTCACGACCATTCACGATCCTCTTGTACTGTAATGGAATTTGGAATTTACCTAATGGTGATCTGTTGTTGCATTTCAACCCTTTGTGAACCACAAAGAACTTTTTAAGTATTTCGCTAGTGGTCCAGTGTGATTCAATTAGCGGCCTTTCTCCGTTGCGCTTTCAACTATGGCTCACTTAACTCAATAATACGTATAGCTATTCTGTTATTCGTCTTTTTAATCTCACGGAAACACGAAGGTCTTTTATAAATCTTCCATCTTTCACATTTTTTTCTGACAAAGGCTGTCACATGCAGTCGAAAATTTATTTTCAATAAAAAGTTTGTTTTTTCTGGTCGTATAACCAATTCAAAAAAGGTTGTCCTTTGCAAAGCATACAGTCTAAACCTTAAACCTTAAACTCTATGCGCGCAAAGCTTAATGTGAGCACAAGTTTCAAGCTTAGTAGTTGAATATTGCAGCTATTTGTGAATGGATTGTTCTCGTATTAAGGAGATATTTACCATGTCTGTAAGAAATGGGCCTCATATATGGTTTCTAAACTGATTAAATGTGCTCCCATTATGCTTTGCTCGCTTAGAGTGGTTTAAGGTTTAGGGTTCAAGGTTCGCAAAGGACAAGCTTTTTTGAATTAGCTGTGTGTGTGTGTGTGTATATATATATATATATATATATATATATATATATATATATATATATATATATATATATATATATATATATATATATATATACCAAATATGTATTTAGAATCATATATGAGTAGAGTGCTCGATATACCGAAGTATAGAATAAATTCACCTGATGAGTGTGGCAAGCATTGCTTGTCATACGAAACAAGTTTGTAGTGAATAAATCTTATGAAGTAAACCAGGTTTATTTTATCTTTATCTATCTATATATATATATATATATATATATATATATATATATATATATATATATATATATATATATATATATATATATATATATATATATATATATAACCTTAAACCTTAAGCTCTAAACGTGCAAAGCATAGGAGCATTACACAGTTTTTAATCCAGTCCTCCCTCGGCGATCTGACGTCCGTGTTGACAAAAACGTCGCATAAACATGTAACATAACAGTGTACTGTGAACGTAGTCTTAATATTCATCTATTATTGATGATTACTATACATCAATATTCCTACAATTAATATTCATATTGCTACAATCAATATTCATGTTGCTACAATCAATATTCATAATGTTATTCATATTCTTATACAATCAATATTCGTAATCCTATCATCATTACTCATTATCCTACCCCAAATATTCATATTCCTGCTATCATTATTCACACTAATTCAAAACCCAATATTGATCTTCCACTGGTCTTATATTATATATACACTTAAATGCACTTCTGTCTTCATAATTTTACATGTATGTTGTAGAAGTATTACTTGGCACCGTTGTTTTACCGCTCCTTGCATTCTTCTCGTTCTCTGAAAGAACGTTATTGCTTCCGTTTAACTCGTTGACTTTCTCCTCAGATCTGAGATAAGCCTTGTTGTCATTGCCTGCAGTTTTGTCGACGCCAGGAGCATTGCTTGCAGTCGATTCTTTAGCCTCTCCATCTTCAGCTATACTGCGCATGAGACGATGTCCAAGGTAACTTAAGAACCCGAAAAAGACAAAACCAAAAACAATAATGCCCACTGAAACTCCAATCAGTGTCGGATTCGGCTTCACAATGGCGAACGCACTGACTAAAGCCACGGTATCTAGGACGTATATCAAAGCAGCGAGCACTTGACGATGAAAATGACTGCCTATCACAGAACCTACAAGAAACGAAACTTTTCAGGACATTTTCTTTGAAGTACTTAATAGCCTACCCACTTCCGCCAGGAAGTCAAGTTTTCATCCGGTTTGTGTTGTTTGTGTGTTCGTCTGTGTGTTTGTCTGTCGACAACTTGTCAACAATTTGGGAACAAGCAGTGGGAACACATCCTGATAACAAATATCTGCAGACTGCAGGTTTGTTACCATCATATTCTTCAATAACTAGGATGAAAAGGGCCGATGGATTTTATTCAATAAATTATATAATTAATAATATTACCTAATGGCGCACCAAGGACCACAATCGGAACACAAACAGCAAGGTAATGGTATGAATCTATTAGGACTTTTTCCATCATAAATTGTCTCCAATAGAAACCAACCGCCGCGTTTCCTGCCATTAAGACAACCGAAGTAGGAGTTGCTGTTTTCTCTGATACTCTAAACAATATTGTGAGTATACTGAAACTGCAGATGTCCACTCCAGTGCCAGCTACTGCCGTGAATGTACCACCGATGAATCCAGTTAAAAGAAGCACCCCTGCTTTCCATGTGTTAAATTCTGGAATAATTCTGAATGTCTTCCTTTTGTGGTACCGGTTGAGCAGGAATAGAGCAAAGGCGAACGCGAACCATATGCTAACGAATCCCATCTTTTTCTGTGGTGGAGTGAGCTTTGGATCAATGAATTCAAGACCAATAATCACTCCTAGGATTGCTCCACTGGAACAGAATATTATAGAACGCCATTCCAGTTGAATTCTCATCCAGAATATTGTGAATGTTGCTACCCCCATGCCGACAGCTTGGGTGACCAGCGAGAAATCTCGAGCAATCACAGGACTGATACTGAATGCCAAGGTCATCACTGGGAATGCAACAGCACCACCACCTTCGCTTGTCATGCCTGCAAGAAATGATGAGGTAGTACACACGTAAAAATCTCACAACTTGTCAACAAGATGTGTTCGCAACAGGCTTGTGGCGAGCTTGTCAACAAGGTATAATTCGATACCCACCGTGGTCAGGCTAACTTTTCAGCCTGCCCGCGGTGTGGATATACACTCAGAGTAACATTTAAAAACATTATATTCACTAACAATGCTGTTTTTTATCAAGTTGCGACAAGGTTGTCACTCGCAACTTGTTGACAAATTGTCAATTGCAGGACAGTAACAAGTTGTTGGAATAACTTGTAACAAGTCTTTTGAGCTCAACAACCTTTTAAACGGGATAAAATGTTTTATTTGATCATAGAAGGCAGTGTAGAGAGTGATGAAACGTGAACGTAAAAACATTAGTGCAAATTTTGACTAGATCTTGTAATTTAATCAGTTTTAGAGTTTCAAAAAGTTCGAAATATCCAATATCTTTGATATCCAATATCTTGGATATTGTCTGATTCTAACATTACCTGCAATCATGGATGCAAAAATCGCCATAATTGACATATTATATCTGTCAGGAAAGAGGTCCCAGTAATTGTATTTTATCGCGCAGCTCCACCAGATGATTTGCACAATGGTGAAGGGGATGAGCACGCCGACCCAACGACGATGCTTGACGAGTAACTTCGTATACCATGGTGCATTTGGGTCCAGGTTCTTGAGGGCTTCTGTTTGAGTATTGTTCAGTGCCTGACCTGATGTAATAGCGAATTATGACAACGTATCAATGAATATACTATCTTTCTATTATCTTCAATGGCGAAATGGCGAGACCCTAGGGGAAGACGAAAAAAGCCTCGCGACTGTTTGTCACTGAAAGATATAGTTGTTTAACCGAGTTATAAGAAGGGCATGCTTTCAATCGACAACGATGAGTCTGATTGGCTTTTAGCAATATATACTATTAAATTTAATTGGACCAATAAATTGAACACCGACTATAATTTACAGCAATAACTAGGTTGGTATCTAAATTCGCAGCCCACAATATTTTGCGCAGTGTCGACGCCAATATCGCCACTTTTTAAGAAGAAGAATGGTACAGGAACGATCGAATGTGCACGAATCGGAAATATTAATTTATATTAACTTGCTGCTATACAGACCGGATTAAAACAATTTTCAGTTCGATTTCAAGGTCCAAAATTTAATTCTCTACCTGTTGAAATTACGACTGCATCTTATTCAAGCAATTTTAAATCTAAATTATTGTCATTTCTTCAATCTAGTCATGCATAAAATGTTTATCTCGATCTATATAGACCGAATTGTTTTGATTGATCGTGAATGTTCCAAAAATGTAAATATAATTATACCATGAGGGAGTCTAAATTCAAAATAAGCTTTTTAGTTTCGATTTTGGATTTCCTCACCACTATACTCTATAGTTCAATGCAATCTACGTTATTTTTGTGACTGATATAGTTGGGTATAAATAAATCAATCTATCTAATAAAAATTGCTTGACTTAAGCAATCATTTTTGTCATGTAAATTAACGCTACTGTTTGTAATCAAATCGATGGTTAGCTGTTAAATATCATTATTACTGTTAAATAATATTATTTTTTGTTTGGCTGGTCAACAAACAGTTTTCTAAGCTTACAGGTATGTTGCATGCAAGTTGCATACTAACATTTAATGTATAGTATGTTCTATGGCAACGATCTTCGCCATAAATTGCTAAAATATTAAAAGTTCCAACTCACCTTCAAGGAAGTACTTCTTAAACCATTCCTTGGGCGATCTACGAGGCATTCTCAGTTTTTCCTATATATAAATGTGCAATATTTTTTTTAAAACCATGCAGTATTACATGGTCTCTAAAATATGCATCTCAGCACCTCTCATTAAAAATTGATGTATTTAAAATAATAAGAAAAGGGCACAATTCCCCAATCCAAACGCTATATAGCACATCAAAATAGATCGTTCCTGGGACGCAACATTGAATAGGGGGCGAGTGGGATCGAACTGTTTTAAAATTATATATGTTTTTGGGCTATCTGTCTCAATACATTTAAAAATAATTGTACATTTTTTAACCTTACGAGTTACGTGCAAAAGACCGTGAAATTCCAAAGGAAACTATATATGTTATGCTGTAAGGAAGACATTATATTTGAGAAGGAAGTAAGACGGTTAAGAATTCCGTTATGTTTTGTGCGACCATGCACCATATATTTATTCCTTTTTCCTCATGCATTAATTGAAACTGCTGGTAGAGGTATAGAAAACATATTAAACAAAGTTTCTTTTTGAATTTTCTTTTATGTTTATAAACCTTTTATGTGTACAAAATTACAATATCACTCTATGCATGGAATGTACATGCTTCTTATATGGAACAAACAACCTTTGTATGAGATCATCAGGTCTTTTACGATTTAACATATAATTACCGGACGTAGTTATACTTGCGAAATAATAAATATTTTTATTTTGGTAAAAGGAATGCATGAACAACAAGTTAATTCGTTTACAATTTATTCGTCAGGAATAAACAGTAAATTTGCTAGAAAATGATCTCAAATTAAAGTTAATATTATACCATGATAACAATATTTGTTTGAAATTAGTTTATTTAGCCAATTTTTGCCGGGTTTTCAGCAATTCCTAAAACGCATTTTCGAGTGATTATATAGTAAAGAAGCTTGTGGAAGGCGGTCAAAAAATCGACTAGAACAGTTGAGAAAGGTTAAATAGCTTTTAGGCCAAATATATTGAAAAGACCTGATTGGATGGGTATAGTCTTCAGCAGGTGCAGACTGCATGAGTTTTCATCCCGATTTCTGGTGACGCATGGTAGAAATGTATAGTAGGGAATTAATATACATGAATTGTTGCGCCAACGTAATATGATCATGACCATATTTTTCACATGTACATTTAGCTCTCTTATATATACGAAGTACTTTCACGCTTTTTTCTATATTTTGAATATTTTTTTATTTATTTATTTTTCCCCTTAATATTTACAAGTGCTAATTAGGCTAGAGACATACTAGAAACCTTAACATATAGGCTTTTTAAGCATCTAGTTTTGTTCCGTATATATTACATATAATTGAAATTACTTCTTAATACAGTCAAGTGAAATAAAGGAAAGAAATGGTTTAGAGTATTTTGATATAATATTCACAGAAGAAAAGAAGTAGAGTTGTGCATGCGGGTTTAATACAATATGAAGATAAAAATGTTAGTTATTATATGATGAGACATTTCCTCAATCTATACTAAATTGTACAAATATAGGACAAATTAGCTTTCCTACCTTTTGTCTTGAAGTATTTTTACTGTTTCCTTCCCTGACTCTTGCTCATCTGAGACCTCACAGTTGCGGTGCGTATTTTAATGTCCGGTCACAGATAGATACATACAGAGTTGTAACTAGGGTACCCACTTTTTTGTGCGCATGCTCGGCAAGTTCGCTTTAACTGCTCGCGGAACTTGCCGAGCACGCGCAGTTGATCATTTTTGCCCGGTCGCCTGAAAAAGAGTGGATACATTTTTATTGAAAAAAATTGGGAATATACTCCTTTTCCCGCTTCGCGACGCTATCGGCTATCCTGCCAAGTGGGGCGAACACAATGGACAAACAATGCGATGACCCTGGGGACAAGTTAACCCATTGTGACGAGGTAACGTTTTTACCTTTGTGTTCGCTCCACTTCGCAAGATGGCATCACGAACCTTTTCGCAAAGGCGTATGGGATTTGGCGATCGGTGTGTCATGGGATTCGGAAACATTTTGTCTGGGAAAAATGGGATTGAAAACCCATTCAAAATCCTAATGGAATTTGGAATTAACATAATAATCATTTATATATGCTCACGAATGCGATTTTGTAAATTTTGTTGCACTTCAACCCTTTGTAAACCACAGAAGAACTTTTCAAGTACTTCGCAAGTGGCCATTGTGATTCGATCAGCCTATTTCCGTTGCACTCTCAACTGTCCACTATGGCTTACTTAACTCAATAAAACGTATAGTGTTACTCTTCTTTTTTATCTCACGGAAACACGGAGGTCTTTTTTAAATCTTCAAGAAGTCGCCAATTGATTAGAAAAGTCAATCTACGCAGTTGCTACAAATTTAACCGTTCTATTGTTGTAAGTGTAAAGGTTTTATAAAATATTTTTTTTAAATGTTTGGTTGCTTAGGCAACTTTATGTACAAGTACCATTAGCTCGAAGAAGAGACTACTATTGTGGTGGAGTACTCTGTACTTGGACGATCTTCCTCGTACGACTTTCCGACTGTCACATGCAGTCGAAAATGTATTTTCAATAAAAGTTGTTTTTCTTTTAACCCGTGTCTTGTTTTCCAATCCTTCAATCATAATATCCTTTATATGCTTTTTTTCAATTTGTAACATGATTGCATGTTGAGTTGACATGGTTGTTTTTCAATTTTTATAGCAAAAATGTCGGAAAAGAACCCTCCCTGAGAAGATTTGTCCTATTGCCAATTGAGCAAAGTTATTGCATGTTTTTGTGAATGTTCACAAAGAACATTCTCCTTGAATGACATTCAATTTGTCATTCCGGCAGAAATTAATTCATTCAGTCTAAATCAGTCGCTTATGATTTATGGCATTTGGGCAGACAATTTCTTCTCAAGATATAGGGCAAATGATCTTACAACTGTTTCAACAACTTCACGTTGAGGCCTTGGAGGACTTGGGGCAATATCGCTCTTGGGGCAAACGCATAAGTACTGTTTAAACAACTTCCCGTTGTATTTTTAATAAGTTTGTATGCCAAGTACATTAATTATGAGAATGGCATCCAAAGTGAAAATTTTGGTGGAACACTTCAGCATATCACTGCAGAATGGTTTGAGAGAAAAGAGTTTAACATTTAACCAACTTGGCTTTATTGTCAACTTCAGTTCACTTTTCAAAGCGCGATCCCCACAAAAAGCGCGATTCTTGGGTGTTCCCTAGGTGTGCCTATTTTTTCAATATTTGCATTAATGCTGAGTCAGCATAAACGTACCTCGTTCCAGGCCTTTTCGTGACTCGTCATCCGCCATATTGGATTTTCTGCAAATATTTGCAGCAAAAAAGTGCGAATTTTACCTTTTTTCAATACTTATAAAATGTGGAGAGTTTTTTAATGTGAGTATTAAGAAGACGTTGGTTCACTGCATCATGCTGTTTTGGCTCAGGCGATTGTCTGGGCCTGTTCTGTGGCGAAATTTGTCCGCTCAAATTCAGAGGTATAAATATATAATATACATTTATTTATTTATTTTGTATATATTTTTAATATTATCTTAGTATTAGTAGTATATTTAGTTAACATTATTTTCAATCCAGCAAATTGGTTAGGGGTAGTCCGTAGTACGTCGGTTAGGTCAGGGTTGCGCCCGTTGCGGTTTATATTAGGTTAGAGTAGGGGTAGGGTTTGGGTTTAGTTACATATAGCCATTTAACACCTCTCCCATCTTCCGAAAATGACATCGTGTCAGTTTGGTAGGTGAAACAAGTGCTGACCAGTAGATTTGTGCAAATATAGATTTGTGGAAGTAAGTATTTTGTTTCCTTATAAATCCTAAAATTACTGATCAACAAAGGATTTTTTAATATTGTACATCAAACATGTCCATAACCGTAA